GCGGAGGGTGGGGGTATATAGTACGCATGAAACAGGAAAATTACGAAAAGTCAACCACTACTCCCACCCTCCCCCTCTTCTGGTGGCCAACTACGACCCCCTCCTCCCTCCCTGTTGGGTGCCCTGTATCCCCAACAACGATGCGCCCTGGCGTGGGAGTAGGAAAGGGATGATTGTATACTGCCCGTGAAACGGGAAAACCTGACAGAATTCAACAACCGAAAACATTTTTTTCAACCCCCCTCCCTTCTAAGAACCAGATACGACCCACCCTCGCCGAGGGACTCCAACGTACGACGTGTTATGTCTGAGAACATATCCAACAGACGTACTCACACCTTAATCAGGATTTCCGACTCCAGTTTGGTTAGCTTTTGGAATATTTTACACTAGCTTTCTGATTACCTTACCACACCTTTTTCTTCGCTTTCTTGGATCGATTTATTGATCTGTTCTGCTTAATGATAATTTTCCCTTCTGATGATCTCTCTGGTTTCCTCTTCTCCAGGTTCCTAACCGATTTCAACGGATTTGTTAAATCGTCCCATTTCTTGGGCGTTTTTCCCCTCCCATCTACTTCTTAATCCTTCCAGTTTTCTTATTTGCTTGAATCGATCTATTGATCGATCGTTTCCTTTCTGTTCTCGTGATAAATCAGACGCATCGTGTCGTACGTCCCTCTCCTGTTTTACTCACCACCCTTTTGTGATTTCCTGGAATTACCTGTTTTTCTATATTTTCCGTGAGAAACCTCTAATGAAATATTTCTAGGTAACATCTACTAATCCAGAACAAAAAGAGGAAACGATGAGTTTTCTTGTGGGTTTTTGTGAGATTTCCGAAGCATGCCTCAATGACCATAAATAGGTGTGCATTTGCAGAAAGGCATCAAGAATACTGTAGCGTCAGCAGCTGATCAGATCGGTGACGTTTTGGAACAAGCAGAGCATAAAGCGGAAGAAGTAAGTGAAGTTGAAAGAATTCCTGATTAGTGCCAAGTACCAACCTGAAATGGTAGACCTTTTCCCACAGATCCCTTGTGACTCTTGCTTGAGATGTTTCGGCAAAATCTACCAGTTCAATAAGCGGAAGCTTTTAATTATCGGTTCTGAGTAGTGGCCAGTTGGGATCAGCACGCAGCCTAACCTACTTCTTTCGTCCTTCCACTCATTCAAAGACACATTCCGCGATAATCAAATGGGCGGAGCAATCGCCAGAGACGACCGCGGCATTTTTGCTGTTTGCTTGCTGTTTCTTTTCTTCGTAAGAGTGTCTTTATCACGTGAAAACATAGCTCAGTTGTAGGTTACAGCGTTAAGCAACATCTACGCAAGGACAATATTATTATCAATAACGCTAGTATGACTGTCAAGACTGAATCAGGGGGGCGGGCTGACAATGCAACAAAGAGAAAACTTTTCAAACATTTTTTTGGTGCCTTCATGCCATTTGATCCTATTGTATACTTTTGTATAGTTTAGAGTGCCAATAATGGGTTGGCGGACAGTGGCAAAGGTGCCTATGATGATCACCAGAGAAGAGAAAAACGCGAGCTGAGGTAGCGTATGCTTTTCTCCAATTGCTCCTGTAGATACTTTCATATGCTACTAATAGCTTTACGCATTTTTCCATATAAATGCCGATATTATTGCTAATAACGAATATATATATATGCTTCTTGATGAGCGACGCAAGCAAAGGAGCAATATAGACACAAACATGGGAAAGTCTCCTGACGCGTAAACAAACCATTTGGCCATTTGGAAAGCGAGCCCGCTCCATCGTGGGACCCGCCCTTTTTATGAACTGCTTGAGTGGCAACGTTTTTGATTAGATAAGAATTAGCATTTCCCCTCTTAGTTAGTCGTGACCGCCGCGAAGAGCAACCCCATAGCTTTCAATCTCACCCCTGAACCCGCCACCTTTATTCCGTCTGTTTCCCCCTACTCCCGAATTTAGAGGCCAGTCATGCCATGATCCGCATTGTCTAACTCCATCCGCTATCACTTCGACCCCCCGCCCCCAGCAACCTTTCGAAACGGCCTGCACACGTTCTTCGGCCGCAGAAAACACACGCACCGACCCCCAACCCCACCCAACCGATACAACGCACACCGCATCGGCTCGGCGTCCCTGCCCTCTGGCACCAAAGCAGGTCGCCGGACGATAGCCCGGTGCATGAATCTTACGCTCTCCACTACTCTCGACTTTTCTCCCTGACTTCGGCCCCCCTACGCATACTCTGCATTAGGCACCTCAGCTCAATACATACCTCCACGCATTATTCCACGCGTGCATCCGGCAAAGATCAAAACGGCCACACGCTGCTAAGCCCCGCCGCTTCGATAGATTTCGTATTCGGTAAAAAAGGAGCTACAGGACCGGCGAGAATCGCAGCGATCAAAGTAACGGAGCACTTAGAAAGGCCGAGGCTCCGGGGATTTCGAATTATATTGTTCTAGATAATGATTGAAGGCACAAGTTGTGGAAAAAGCAAAAAAGGTTGGGGAAAAGGTGGGCTGAAATGCTGTCGCAAAGGTTTGTTCTTGAGTGAACGTAGGCCGCTCAATAGTGTAGTTTTTTTCTGCGAGTAGTAATGAAGAGCTCAATAAGAGCTTTCAGCAGCGTTCGCATAGCATATATCGCCAAATGCACAGCGTAGAGTGCGCGGCCTAAATTGACAAAAGGTTACAGGTCCTGAGCGATACCATATTTTTTGGGGTTTCAGTCAGTCGCTCACTGCGATTATAAAACACTAATTTACATTGTCGTGTTGTCTGTAAATGCTAGGGACATGTCGGGGGAAAGGGATAGGTTTGACGCGATACCGGCCCGCTCTCTTTCAAAAGTTGAAAATGGCAAGCGACAACAGTTGCTGGAAAACAGGCTTGCGCCGTTCCTGACGCACCCAGCTATTCTCAGCAGGCAAAACTACACGTATCGGCTACCTTCCGAAGGCCTTGTATGGTTGGAGTAGCCATTCAACAGCCATCAGAATCCCGACAGGAACTCGGATACATGGCGTATCTTGCTTTTCGGGATAGAGTGTCTTTAAAACCGTACTTCGGACACTGCACATCAACCGTAATATATATCGAATTGCTTATGTTTCATATCCAGTAGTTCGTTTACAACAATGACCAAATGTTACATGATAGCCTAGTGAATTATCAGAGGAGGTGGGAGGGGGGGGGGAATAAAGTACTTCAAGATCCCTTTCTGCCTTATCTCTTCTGTAAGGAGGAAGGGAGGAGAAAATTTCGAAGCGATGATTCTTCTAACAATAAAAAATCCCTCACGCTCCGCTAATTTTTCATACAATTTTTTGCTTTTTGCAAAATACAACTTTGACTTGGTTTTTTTAATTTGGTGAAGTTGCAATTCCAGTTTGCTCAATATCTTGCGGAATCGATGCTCGCCACGACCTAGTTATTCTGATTTAGGTGCACACCGACCAGGCGTACATGCACGGCATTCATGAAGCAGAAAAAGCTGGCGAGAAGGCAAAAGTTAGTGAATTTTGACTTCGTACTTCATATTTTCAAATATTATAAAGTCTTTGCCTTTAGTCTAGTTTCCGCTAATCATCCCCCTTGTAGGATGCGGCACGCACTCTACTTGTCATTCAGAATCGTAGTGGCTTATTGAATGCGATGTGGCCTATACAATGACTTGCGGGGGCCAGCCGATGTACAAGTCAGTGCTATTATTCTCTCGAACGAATCTGGTACCAGTTGACCATGCTCCGATGATAGACTGCTTGTTTGGCCTAGCCGATAGCCGACCCGGATTTGAACCCTGGACCGCGCGAGTGCTAAGCGTGCCATTCGCCACCACACCACCTCCGCCTCATCTTGTGCTACATCGAATTAATTATTTCATATTATATTATTTTTTCACGCAGTTGTAGCGGCGCATCCAAGCTTACGTTGAATAAATAATAGAATCCTCTTGAATTATTATGTCAATAATTTCTAACCCGCATAGAATATGGAAAATCAAATAATGGTATCGAAATATAATAATACTAATATCATATGATCGTGTAACAACAATAACAACTGTGATTGTGATATGCATTGATAATTGTTGATAAGAATATGTAAATAGGGA